TATTTTTGTTGCGGTTGTTTCTCAAAGTTGTAAAATAAATGATGTGAATGAATGGATGGTAGACTCCGGGGCTACCAAGCACATTTGTAAAAACAAAAGTGCTTTTACCTCCTATAGTACTACTATGGGAGATGACGAAGAGCTCGTGTATCTAGCGGACTCAAAAACCGCAAAGGTGCGCGGTAAAGGGAAAGTTCTTCTAAAACTCACATCGGGGAAAACTTTATCACTAAATAACGTACTTTATGTGCCTGAGATTCGAACTAATTTAGTTTTCGTTTCTCTCTTGGTAAAAGCTGGGATTAAAGTATCTTTTGATTGTAACAAAATTGTTATGACCAAAAATGATGTTTTTGTGGGCAAAGGCTATTGTAAGAATGGACGTTATGTGCTTAGTATTCTGAAATTAATGCGTGAAAATGCTTCTTATTTGATTGATTCATATGATGTGTGGCATGCAAGATTAGGACATGTGAGTGATTCTTATATCAATTTGTTGCGTGACCGTAGTTTGATTTCTAGTGAAAAGAAATTGACACTAGAAAAATGTGATATTTGTGTTGAATAAAAAAAAACCAAAAAATCATGTCCTACCACACAGAGGGAATCAGAACTGCTTGAGTTAATTCACACGGATTTGGGTGATTTAAAAAATACCATGACTAGAGGTGGTAATAAATTTTATGTCACCTTTATTGATGATTTTTCGAGATACACTAAAGTTTATTTGCTTAAAAGTAAAGATGAGGCTTTTGATAAATTTTTAGTGTACAAATCCGAGGTGGAAAATCAATTGAATAAGAAGATTAAGAGAGTGAGATCGGATAGAGGGGGCGAATATATTTTAATAAATGATTTTTGTGAGAGGGAAGGGATTATTCATGAGATAACTCCTCCATATTCGCCCGAATCAAATGGAATAGCTGAAAGAAAAAATAGGACATTAAAAGAAATGATGAATGCTCTTTTAATTAGTTCTGGTGCTCCTGATAATCTGTGGGGGGGCTATTCTTTCTGCTTGTCACTTACAAAACAGAATTTCTTATAAACACAATAAGAGAACACCCTATGAATTGTGGAAAGGTTGTGTGCCTAATTTGAAAGTGTGGGGGTGTTTGGCTAAAGTCTTATTGCTTGATCCTAAGAAGAGGAAAATTGGTTCTAAGACATCTGATTGCATATTTATTGGTTATGCTGAATGTAGTGCTGCTTATAGATTTCTTGTTTTGAAAAGTGATGTGCTTAGTTGCAATACTATTATTGAAACAAAAAATGCTGAATTTTTTGAGAGTGTGTTTCCTTTAAAGCCAGAATACAAGACCGTTGTGCCATATCGTGAAAGTGAGCCATTAAAAGAAAATAATACTTTTAATGATGAACCCTCTAATTTGAGAAGAAGTAAGAGGCCAAGGATAGAAAAATCTTTTGGAAATGATTTTTATACATATCTTGTTAATGATGAACCTTTTACTTATTCACAAGCTATTTCATCAAAAGAGGCTCCTTTTTCGCTTGAGGCAATTCAAAATGAAATTGAATCTATTCAGAAAAATAAAACTTGGATTTTAACTGAATTGCCTAAAGGGTGCAAACCAATAGGATGTAAATGGATTTTTAAAAAGAAATTTAATCCGGGTGGTTCAATTGACAAATATAAAACGAGGCTTGTGGCAAAAGGTTTTTCTCAAAAACAAGATGTTGATTTTTTTGATACTTTTGCACCGGTAACGAGAATATCTTCCATTAGAATTTTAATTGCCTTGGCTTCTATTCACAAACTTCTTATCCATCAAATGGATGTTAAAACGGCATTTTTAAAAGGTGAATTAGAGGAAGAAATTTATATAGTGCAACTGGAGGGTCATGTAGTTTCTGGACAGGAACACAAAGTGTGTAAGTTGGTCAAATCTTAATATGAAAGAGAACGGAGCTCTGGCGATTTTTGAACTTTGCGATTGATGACCAAGATCACGGCCGCAGAGGGGGTGGCGCCTCCCTCTCTGCCTCAGGCGAAGGCGTGGAGTGGGAGTGGTAGATCCTTTGCTTCTGTGGTTGCTGCAGATTCACCAGATTTCTCCTGGTCGAAAAAGACTCCATCTCGTTTCAAAGGGCAACCAGCAGTTACCTTCCCGGAGGAGGAGTTTCAACATCTTGCTTCAAAACATAAACGGGATCTAGTTGGATATTTCTTTACAGGACGTCCATCTATGACCTCATTGAGGAAAGCTTTTGAATTGATTGGTTTTAAAGGTAGATTCCAATTAGGGCTTCTTGAGAAAAAACACGTTTTAATTAGATTTGATTTGGAGGATGATTACATCCGTTGCTGGAACCGTCAAATTTGGGATATTTTTGGTAGTGCGATGCGTGTAACAAAGTGGACACCGGACTTTAGGCCAAATGTGGAATCCCCTGTGGTTCCCATTTGGTTAAGTTTTGAAAGCTTACCTATTCATCTGCATGATAAACGTGCTCTATTTGATATCGCTGGATTGATTGGTAGGCCGTTGAAAATTGATGCGGCTACTGCATCTCTGGCCAGGCCATCTGTGGCTAGAGTATGCGTAGAACTTGATCTCACTAAGGAGATGCCAAATAAAGTGTGGATCCAGTGTGGATCTCAAGGTTTTTCACAACCAGTTATTTATGAAAATCGACCTCTGTACTGTGTTAAGTGTTTGCATTTAGGTCATTCTGGGGCAGCTTGCCCTATGCGACCTGTGACTGTTGATCCAGAGGTGAAAGAAAAATGGATTGTAAAAAAGCGAGAAGAACATGGCGACAAACAAATTACAGACGGGAAGCAAGGGAACAAGGGTACTATAGATAAAGGAAAAGCCAAAGCAGTTGTGTGTCCGCCATCCATATCTAAGATCCTGGACAGTTATCCTTCGACTTCAAAGGTTCATTTTACTGATGTAGAGGAGTCCGATATTGAAGAAGTCTACAATGAGGCTCTGGTTCCAGTTGATGCTTCACCTGTTACCAACATACAAAAGGATAGTGAGCCCAAAGCTACTGATTCCATTGTCTTATTCAATGATGCACCTGTACAAGACATCAATGCTAATCCCACACTACCAGTAGGTGAGAGAGCAGCTGATGATTATCACGTACTAAAAATCACCCAGAGGGAGCAGTATGATCCCACCTTATCGGCTAAAGGATATTCTTCTGACGGTGATTTTTGTTTTCTCGATAGTCTAAGCAAGTGGAAAGAAGGACAATCTGAATTGACAAGGAAGGTTTGTACTCTGTTAAACAAGAAACCTGCAGCAAACATCTCTGATGAGACTATTCTGGCAGTACTAAACAAACAACAACCTGATATAGATAGGCAAGATATTGATGATGGTTTTATAAAAGTGGCCAGGAAAAAAAAAAGACAGCCTAGCCAGGTCGCCCCTGAAAGCCCCAGACTTACCAGACATGCAGCTAAAAAGCTGTCACTAGCTTTCTCTTCCCATCAACCATGAATTGCCTTATTTGGAATGTACGTGGCCTTGTTTCTTCCTGTCCAAGGTTACGTGATCTTATTAGACAGTGGAGAATCCATTTGCTTACAGTTATTGAACCTATTGTTGATTTTTCAAAAATTTCCTCTTTCTCTTTGGAGCTAGGACTTGATAAATTTTTCAGTTGCCCTGATAATAAGATATGGTTGTTTTGGGATTCGACTTTGATGGATATTTCTGATTTTACTTGGGGTGAGCAATACATTCATATGAAGATTGCCACATCTACATCTACTTTCTGGTTTACTTCTATTTACGGTGCACACAGCTATATACATAGAAGGGGATTATGGTCTTTTTTGACTAGCTGGGCGGCTTTTAATTCAGAATCGTGGATGGTAGGTGGCGATTTCAATGCCATTATTAACCATTCAGAGCATAAAGGTTCATCTACCCCTTCCTTAGTAAGTATGACAGAGTTTAAAGACTGTATTGCTAGTTGTGACTTGATTGATTTACCTTTTAAAGGTAGCTCTCATACATGGTCTGGTATCAGGAGCAATGGCAGAGTCTGGCGTAGATTAGACAGGATTCTGTTTAACTCTTCTTTCTTGAATCTTTTTGACTCCATACAAATTAACCATCTGAACAAAGCTTCATCTGATCATAATCCCATTCTCCTGCAATGTAACAATCAGAGGTTATCACAAGGCCCTAAATCTTTCAGATTTCAGAATATGTGGGTTACTCATCCAAATTTTCTGGAGGTGGTTAAGCACTCGTGGAATTCTGCTCCTTATGGAGGTGGTGGGATGAGGGGTTTATATGATAAACTCCACTCTCTGAAATTAGTTTTAAAGAAATGGAATAAAAATATCTTTGGAAATGTTTTTCTTGATATCAAAAAGCTGGAAGAGGAGGTTTTACAAGCTGAAAATCTTTTTGAAGCTGACCCTTCTGAGGAACACAGAGATGACTGGTCCTATAAGCAGGCCCTACTCCTTTCTAAGCTCAAACAGGAAAAAACTTTCTGGAAACAAAAGGCACAAATCAAGTGGTTAAAAGAGGGGGATGCTAATACTCAGTTTTATCATTCTTATGTTAATATTAGAAGGAGAAAGCAGCAGATTTTATCCATTAAAGATTCTGCAGGAACTACCTTTTCTGAACCTGATGATATTGGTAAATCTGCAGAGAGCTATTTCTCCAACATATTTTCTGAGGAACCTATACATGATGTGGAGGAGCTTCTGCAACACATTCCACAGTTAGTGCATGATAGTGACAATAACATGATTATGCAGCTACCTACCTTTGATGAAATTAAGAAAGCAGTCTGGAATTTAAATAAGAATGGAGCCCCTGGTCCTGATGGTTACAATGGAGCTTTCTTTAGAAAATGCTGGCATATTGTGGGCTGGGATGTGGTTAGAGCTGTTCAAGATTTCTTTTTGGGAAATCACATTCCTAAAGTTATGGCCAGTGCTCTGATTGTGCTCATTCCTAAAAAAGAAAGACCATCCAATTTTGCTGATTTCAGACCAATCAGTTTATCAAACTTCATAAGCAAGGTTTGTACTAAAATCTTGGCAGATAGAATCAGCCTTATTTTACCTAGGATTATCTCTAATGAACAAGCAGGTTTCATGAAAGGGAGGGATATTTCGGAACACATTCTTGTTGCACAAGAGATGATTAATTCCATTGACAAGAAAATACGGGGAACTAATTTGGTGATCAAATTAGATATGGCAAAAGCCTTTGATAGGCTCTCTTGGACTTTCCTAAAATCCATCCTATCGAAATTTGGCTTCTCAGATTCATTCATATCTTTGGTGATGGGTCATCTCAAGGCCACCTATTTCTCAGTTATCATCAATGGTGTGCCTAAAGGTTTTTTCCAGCCTGGTAGGGGGGTCAAGCAGGGAGACCCCCTCTCTCCCTTTCTTTTCATCCTTGCTACAGAGGCCTTATCTAGAGGTTTGAAAGATCTAATGGCTGATAATAAAATCAAACCCTATTGGATTGGTCAGTGTGGTTTTCCGGTGTCCCATTTGTCTTTTGCTGATGATATTCTCATTTTCATTAATGGGGATGCTAGATCTTTACAAAATTTTAAGAAATTCTTGGGTCTGTATCAAAGAGCTTCTGGTCAAGCAATTAATTTCAACAAAAGTAATTTTGTATGTGGCAAAACGTCCTTGGTAAGGATAAGAAGGATGGAAAGGCTGTTGGGCATGAATAAGACCAATTTGCCTCTTAGATACTTGGGAGCAGTCCTGCACAGGGGTAATAACAGAATCAAATATTGTCAAAACATCATTCAAGCTTTTGATAAAAGGCTATCAACCTGGAAACAAAGACATTTGAATCAAAGTGGGAGGCTTGTACTGATAAAGCATGTGTTAAACTCCATTCCTCTGCATGTTTTAGCGGTTGATACTTTCCCTAAATCTGTTATTCGGATTTTGGAAAGGAAAATGGCACACTTCCTTTGGGGTTCCAGGGCTGATAAAAACAAGTTCCATTGGATGAGTTGGAAAAATGTTTGTTTTCCTTATGAGGAAGGTGGATTGGGTGTTCATGCACTGGCTGATACTGAAAAAGCATTTTCTTTAAAGATTTGGTGGAAGTGGAAATGTAACAAGTCACTATGGGCCCAATTTTGTCATTCAAGATACCCTAGGGGATCTGATATGCTCCCCAGAAGTATTGACTCTGCCATTTGGAAAAGGATTTGTAGAATTCACAATATTGGAATGTCATATATATCAACTGATTCTGAAGGTGAATATGTGTGGTTACCTGAGCATAATGGAGTCTTCTCCTTGTCTTCTGCTTTCAAAGAGGTCAGATCGCGTAAATCACAGACTTTTTCTTTTAAACATACCTGGCACAAGCATCAATACAGTCAAATTCAGTTGTTTCAATGGAAGATCCTTCATAGATTTCTGCCTTTCCCGGACAATTTAGGTAGATTTCATATGGCTATTTTTCCCACTATTTGTCCGCTATGCAGAAATGAATCTGATTCTATGAATCATGTCATGTTTCATTGTAAGCATGTTAAGGGGATTTGGGATTACTTTATGGGTATCTTTCATATACCCATCCCAGCTGGCCAGAGTTCTATTCGACAGGTCCTAATATCTTGGTGGCTTGAGGCTGGCTCGAAATCTGTAATGGACAGTTTTAAGCACAATTTGGCTGGCATTATAGCATGGCATATATGGAAGGTATATGCCAAGATGATTTGGGGTGACTTATCACAGCCGCCGTCGCCTCAGTCAATTATTCATCAAATTAGGATGTTCACACAGGACTGGTCCGAGGCTAAACTTAAGAAAACTAAGATGGTTCAATTTGATGATATTTTGTTAGAAGAAGAACTCATTTCGAAGAGTTTTCGATGTAAGAGGCCAAAAATTCAGATAGTGAGTTGGAAATTACCTGACATGCATCTGAAGTTGAATATTGATGCATCTTTCTCCTCCGATGCATCCTCTGGTGGGGCGGTGATGCGAGCACAGTCCGGCGACCTCATTTTTGCTCTTCATTTCCGAATCTCAGCCGGATCCGTTGCTTAGGCGGAGCTCTTGGCCTTTTACACTGCGATTTCCTGGTCTATTGCTCATGGCTACAGGGACTTTCAAGCAGAGTCGGATTCCAGAAATACTATTGATATGGTTGAAGGAAGAATGCTTGCTGGTCGATGGAGAAAACTCACGGAGGAGTTGAATATGTGGAAGATTGGTTTTGGTCTGAATTTTTATCATGTTTATCGTGAAGCAAACAGACCGGCAGATTTGATGTCCAGGTGCTTTCCTGCTGCAGATGAGTTCACTGTCCTATTTCGACCTATTCAGCTTCCGGGTGTTATAAGACGGGCCTTAATTGCGGATAAATTGGGACTTGCCTTTCTTAGATATTTTATGTAAAAAAAAAGAAACAAGCTCCTAAACAATGGAATGAAAAATTTGATGAAGTATTATTTGCTCATGGTTTTACCTCACTTGAAGTAGATAAATGTGTATACACTAAAATAAAAAATGGCGTGTGCATTATTATTTGCTTGTATGTGGATGACATGCTAATATTTAGTAGCAACCTTGAGCTAATAAATGAGACAAAATCATTTCTTGCTTCAAAATTTGATATGAAAGATTTGGGTGAAGCAAAACTGATTTTGGGTATTAAAGTCATAAGGAAGGATGATGGTATTACATTATCTCAAGAGCACTATGCTGAAAAACTTCTAAAGAAGTTTGGACATTTCGATGTCAAACCTGTGAATATCCCTTATGACTCTAATACGCATTTGAAAAAAGCATAAAGGTGATCCTGAGGCTCAATATGAATATGCACAAATAATTGGGAGTTTATTACATTTAATGAACTATACGAGACCCGACATAGCTTATGCTGTCGGAAGATTGAGCCGATATACTCATAACCCAAGTGGGGATCATTGGGCCGCGTTGAGGCGGTTATTAAGATATTTGAAAGGTACCATGAATTATGGTATATTTTATAGAGGTTTACCCGCTGTACTAGAGGGATACAGCGATGCTAACTGGGTCTCTGACTCACATGAGATCAAATCCAATACTGGATATATATTCACCCTTGGAGGTGGTGCTATTATGTGGAAATCAGCCAAACAATCTCTCATTTCTAGATCCACTATGGAGTCCGAGCTTATAGCTTTGGAAGTGACTAGTAGTGAGGCGGAGTGGTTGAAAAATTTCTTAGCAGAAATTCCGGTTGGTACAAAACCAACAACATCGGTGTCTATTCTTTGTGATTGCCAAAGTGCAATAAATACTGCTAAGAAAATGTGTTATAATGGGAAGAATAGACACTTTCGTTTAAGACATAAAGTCATTAAACGATTATTGAAGAATGGAATTATTTCCATTAATTATGTGAGGTCAGAAGGAAATCTATCGGATCCTTTGACTAAAGTCCTAGGACGAAAATTGATGAGTGCAACCTCAAGGGAAATGGGACTTGTGTCACTTGATTACAAATAGGGATGGTAACCCAACTTGTGTTATTGGAGATCCCATGAAGCAAGTTCATATGGGTAATAACAAGTCTTCTATTTGTTCTGCTAGCCTTATTACAAGTCTCTTTATATGGTGTGGAAAGTTAGACTGCATTCGCTGTGAGGCTGAGCTAAAACTCCTAATGATTTTCATAGCCCTTATGGGTGGTGTGTTAAGTGCAGAACACACTTGATGAGATCACCTATATGAGTGTGAGGTGGGGCCGCCTCTATGAAGCCTTGACAACGCTTCTAGAGCACTCACGAACACCAGGCACGCGCACGGCCGAAATGCGCACCACGGCGCTAACGCGAGGAGTTGTGCGGGATGAGACATGACCATTAAGACCCTGATTTACCATAGTAGCTTCTTGGTTCATAGAAACTATACGTTTCACCAAAAGCTCGGTTTATAAAGACTTAATCGTCTCGGTTTGGTTCATAGTCTACGGACACCAAGCTTAAAGTCTCATTCCTTTAATCCAACAAATTTTAAAATTATTTTTCTCAAAATATTTATTTGAAATATGTGGGGGATTGTTGGAAAATTAAATTGTATTTCAAATAAATTAATTATTTGGTAACGGGCGGTTGTTTAATTGATCGCACTTCCGGGCCATGTAACGTGCGTTTTGAGAGGTTGACCAAGTTCTCTTGGTTGAGCTTTATTCTCTCCACTTTTGAAGGATCCAAAACAGCCAACTATCATTTAATTACTTTTATATTACTCCCTCCGTCCCCTTTTAAATGGGACGGGAGATGGTGGCACGAGTTTTAAGAAAAGTGAGTTTGTGTGGTTGATATTAATTGATAAAGTAAGAATAAAGTAAGAATGATTTTGAGCCACACAAAGTTTACCAAATAAGGTATGGGGCAATTAAATACGGACATCCCAATATGGTAAAACGGGACATTTAAAAGGGGACGGAGGGAGTAATATACTACGTATATTATATTAATAGGATAAAAACCCAGCAGAGGCACTAAGTAGTATTTCGGATATACGAAGTCTTCTACGGGATAACCACTTCTCTGCAACTTGATCTTCTCAAAAGCATTCGATGAAAATGATTTTTCCTAAAAGTTTTTGCTGGATTATTAATTTGATGATTTCCCTCGTAGTTCTGGTTCCGACTATTAGTCGAAGGGTTCGTTTAATCCTGGGGGAAGATTTCTGTTCACCGGAAATACTTTCAGAGGACAGCGTTTACGCGACTCGAGCCACAGTGTTTCTTGTTATTCTATGTTGTAGGTCTATCTTTGTGATGGCTATACGGAAGCTATGGAATTGTGGTAATATTGAAGCAAGTGTGAATGAAGGCAAGACAAGGTGCTGCCATTTGCCGCAGATAGAGGGAGAAGCAACTCGCCGGAGTGCAGCGTATCTGCCGGACAGAACTGGACGCCCAGGGGCAAGGGTTAAAGTCAAATCCCCAACAGATGGTATGGACGGTGACCATGGAACATGGACGGGGTGTTGTTCGTACTCCGCTGGAAATGCTTTAGCTCAAGCCCCAAGAAAAGAAAAGAAACGCGGAGAAGATAATTTCTTAAGAAAGTAAAGTTAGAGTTGAGCTTCTAACATTAAAACAGAAGCAAATATTGTGCTTCTGATATTCGATCGAAGCCAAATTCGAGTGAGGGGGGAGTAGAATTGGATTTGCCAATTTAACTATTCCTCAAATTAAATCCTGCAGATGCCAGATAGGAGGAAAGAAAAAAGAAAATGAAAACCTGCTAGATCTGTGAGAGGTATACCTTACCGGTGAGAAAAGAAGAAAACGGGTGGGAATTGGTGAAAAGAAAAGAACGATGCAAAGAGATGAAGACAAAGGAAGAAAAAAGGAAGGAAAAAAAAAAGATTAAGAAAAGAAAGGGATAGACGAGTAATAATGTGCCACGTGTCCGGGTGACCTGCTGAATGGGTTTATGCAGGTCACCAGATTGTTTTGAGAATATGTCCATTATAATTGAGATTATTCTAGAATTACTTATATGTGGGATTAATATTGGAAGACCGTCGATAGTTGAGATTATTCATGTGAATTTTTCCTTCTTTTTACCTTAATGCAAAATGTATACTTTAAGTAATATTAATATGACAAATGTAACAATTAACTACTTTAACTAATATTAATATGACAAATGTAA